CTTTGTCTCAGCATTTTATTGTCGAATTCATGGCAGGGCACACTACGAAAGAATCATTCCTTTTTAACGATTCTGTGGTTTTCAGGACGTTTCGAGACGAAATCTCCTATTGAGCTAGCATGTTCGAGGGTCCGATGATCTTGAGAACCTAGAGTTATCAAAGTAAACAGTTTGATTACTTACTGCCAAAGCGCTGAATGAAATTCTAAATTCTAAGCTGTAAGTAGAAGCAGGACAGAAATGTCTATCCAATCACAGCGATAAATCTCATTCCGAGTGAAGAAGCCACCGGTTCCAGCTCCAAGTCTCTAACCCCTCAGGCGAGGTCAGCTCCCTGAGGTCGAGGCTTTTACCGCCTTCACCAGGCTCTAGCTTCTTGATTCCTAGTTACCCATTTCATTTGCATGGAATCTTTCTTTACGCTTCATTTGAGAACAGGCTAGCCGCTATTTATTGGCTATCTTGGAAGAAAGAGAAAAAGCGGTGAATCGAGTTGAGTGGGATCTGAAGGTACCTCTTTAAAAGGTTCCTCTTAAGCTTAGCTCCCACACACGACGGAAANAAAGCTTAATTTCTTCGAAAATTTCATTACTGTCTCTGATCACGTTCAACGACCTCTTTCTTGAACCCCATTCTGCGAACTTTTAGAAACTCCTGCTTAACTCCGCAGTGATAATATCACCGTGCAATTGCTCTCGTTCCCAAATCCCGAATTACTCTCGTTTTGCTGGTTTACATCACGTATATACTGCTAGTTCGTATGCTTTTTCAATGGTTCCGATTGATTAGTTGGCTGTCTTCTCAGCTTGAGCACAGCCTGTCTGTCCAGCTAAGAACAAGTGACATAGTGCCACCTGCAGAACTCCTCCTCATCACAGAACGTTCACAATTCCTTCAAGCTTTTCGTGAAAATGAGCTTTTTTCGTGATAACATTCACGTCAGACCCTTCATTTTCGCTTGCGAATATGTTGGTCTACGGCCTTTTTCCGAAATCAGCTAATTCCCCACGGACATACTATGAAGGCTCGAAGGCGGAGCTCAATATCTCGTCCGTGAATTCCCGCAAACGTTTTATTCTTCAATTGGCTTTTCATACATACCCATCAAAATGACCTTTTACATTTATATTGAACTCTTTCAGTTGTCTTTTAATTCCCGGAGCGGGATGGGCAGAACCGAGGGTCTTTNCTCGTCCGTGAATTCCCGCAAACGTTTTATTCTTCAATTGGCTTTTCATTCATACCCATCAAAATGATCTTTTACATTTTTATTGAACTCTTTCAGTTGTCTTTTATTTCCCAGAGCGGAATGGGCAGAACCGAGGGTCTTTGCCATTCTCACCAACCACAATCCCACGTCGAGTCCCACGAACTGAGCTTATCTCCCCGCTCATATGGTCGGCAAAAGATTCTGGGGGGCCTTGCTTGGGCCTTAACAGGCCTTCCTAATTCGNCACTACTGCTCATTACCCAAGTTGAAGTTATGTCTTCGTGTTTGCTGGTAAGCTCTCCATCTGACCCTAAATGAGACTTATCTTCATTTCCTCACAACTTTCCCAGTTGCGTCGGCATAGAGGCTCGACATAGGGGACACCCATGATAGATTTTTCGCTTTTCACCGGAAAGGATACTCCTGGAGCTTTCGATCTGACCTGATTTCGGGTAGGAGCATAGTACAACTTCTGCCTTTGAGTGAAGCGCATTGTGAACGGATTTAGTCGTGGACGCCATCTTTAATCCTATTTGAATCACTGGAGAGTTCCTTTCGAAGATTTTAGTACTTTTACCTTTTCGCTTCGGAGAGTCAGGCTTTCAGCTCGATCAATCTCTCCTTGAGTTACTATGTCTCGGCATTTGGCACCTATTATCACTCCCACAGCCCATATTGGAACTTGAAGGACCAGTTAATGCGCGTTTTAATGTGATTGCATTCTCGTTGATGAGTCCAGTACCAAACGACTTCGGACAGGTGGGTAGACTGGTTGGTCTGTATGAATTACGATCTGGAATTAAACCCTCTTAGTCATAGGTGCGGTAGCGGAACTAGTTGAAACCCCAGTTATTCTTTCTTGTCAATATAAATATGATATATCAAGGCCGTTAGTCATCTCCTATCTTTTAATTTCAATAAAAGCACTCCCACAAATTTTGGATAGCTCCAGTACGTGGCGCAATCCGCTATAGAAGGAGTCCTTCAGCGTACGCCATGCATTTAATTCATCCGCTAGAATTTTCGAATTGCGCAGTGAAGGATGGCAATTCATTTCGATCGTTCCGACGGGTAGAGGGTGTCTTCAAAGATGGGTTTCAGTGTCTGTATTACCAGGTTTTACAACTAGTTTACCTTATTACATCTGGTCTCAAAACTCAGCCGGGTGCAAACTGCTTTGCTAACACCTGCAGGGTAAATGCAATAACATCCATTTCACAAAAAGTTTTATATTATGCTAACCTAATATATTCGAGGTATTCCCCACTGTATAGAACTAGTTTAGCTCGAAAGTTACTCCAAATGGGGGAATAGCAGTAGCCTTCCTTCCAGTAGGCATCAGCATTGATCCATTTTCCCATTTTGTCCCTCGAACTGCTCCCAATTTGCAAATGCGTTTCAACTTATTCTATATCTATTGTTTTCGTTTGTTTTCGCATTTCATCGGACCCTTTTTTAAATATGGATACATTGAGGACAATTTCGAATACTCCGTGGGTAGGGTGACCACAAGTCAAGCTTTTGTCTGTGCCTTCTAACTGAAATAACACCCCACAAGAGCTTGGTGGGACTTAAGTTCTATGTCATAATGTATAGTTGGGTTGCATTTTGCCGTGTGTTTTTGCTGCATTTTCCGAGAAATTCACTGAAAACCTTAGAAACGCCACATTCCCTGGACGGCTTAGTGGAAGCTCGGAACGGAATGCCTTTTCGGTGAGAGGGCACAAACAGAACAGAGACCTTGCGGGCCTCCTCCCTTCTCAAGCCCATGTGGGGTTTCGATTTCGGCTTTGATAAATCTACATATTTCAGTCATCGTATGGAAAAACAAGCTATTGTTTTGGCAGCCATTTGCATAGGTGAGTATTNCTCGGAACGGAATGCCTTTTCGGTGAGAGGGCACAAACAGAACAGAGACCTTGCGGGCCTCCTCCCTTCTCAAGCCCATGTGGGGTGCAAGCCCATGTGGGGTTTCGATTTCGGCTCTGATAAATCTACATATTTCAGTCATCGTATGGAAAAACAAGCTATTGTTTTGGCAGCCATTTGCATAGGTGAGTATTTTACGGTTGCTTGATAGTTGGTTGTTTATCCTAGTTACAAGTACTCACTGGGAATGTAACCTTATTCATTCTTTAGCCCGTATATTTTCTTTCGAGGTAATTTACTCTCTTTGTATTTTTCGTTACATTCAATTCTACTCGAAGTTGTATGAAAAAATATTTTCGCGGTTAGTACGCTCTGCGTCTCTGCCGTCTTAGTGTGTGAATAGATTTGGACGGTCAGAGATTCTCTCTACTTTTAGTCTGTTCAATCGATTATGGTGAAGCAATCAATACTAGCAGTCGACAAATACGCGAAGGTAAACGATTGACGTTTGGTGGGGGTTCAGCATTATGTCACAGAACCCTCGTCGTCTACACTCTAGCCGCGTCCTAGTCGAGGAACATTTGTCCCGCGTACTTCAATTAATCAATAAGGCATCATCAATCCCAGTGGAGGAGCGACATGTTTGGGTTGTATCCCTTAGTAATAACCAGTGTTTTTGCAGAAGGTTGCGTCGTGAACGGGCGTTGTGCTACATTGGAGAGGAACGCTGATGGGAAAACCATGAAATCAGTCCGTTTTATAAGTTTTTCCTAGCGGCATAACGAAAATGTTGAGTAAAGAGGCTTCACGCCACCGTAGCTCTTTTCGTTGATTTTTGTGGAGCGGACGACCCTTCTGACGAAGAGTTTCCTTACGGATCGTCAGGATAGATTTCGAAGTCCCGAGGAGTTTGTGATACAGTAATCCGACAAGCAAGATTAACCCACACCGTCTCTTCAGCCTAAACCCTCTTCTGTTGTGTCGTATGTGCGAGAAGTTTCTAGATCGCTGGACGTCTTGTCCTTCACTATGTAAGGTTACTGTATCGCAATTTCTTTTGGGGTGCCAAATTGGCGTCGTCTTCAAATCTGTCAAAGGTGATTGGCTGTGCATTTTGTCGTAATTTGTAATTAATTCATATCGTGAAGTCTACTGGCTATTGGAATTCTATTAAGATTCACCTGCCTTTGATACTTACAATGTGGACTCTGGTAAGTTGGGCCGGGTTGGGTGGATCGCAAAATCATGCCTTAGTGAAAGTGACATCACCTAAGGAAATTGGAGCCGTCGGGCTCAAATTTCTGTCACATTGATCTTGACTATTGGGAAGACATGAGGAGTCGTAAAAATTCTATCAAAATGCGAATGCGATAAATTTACCCATTTAATATTCATTCAGCAATTTCTCTGAAATATGAGAATGCAGTCGGATTCCAGAAACTGGTTCTCTATAGAGAATGGTTACCAAATTCAGAATATATGTAGAATAGTCCGTCCATGGGACACAATTAGACTGCGGCGTAGGCGATAGGAATTCCCTCGAGATTAGCATGGCTTCAAATGGCTGCTTACTGGCCTTTTCGACAATTTATTCGGGACATCCAATAACGTGCAACGAAGGTCTATCGGTTTTTTTGTCTCCACTGGGGGTCTGTTCGGTCCTGAGAGAAACAGATGGAAAACGAGAAACCCCAAATGTGGTTCTGAGGATAGAAGACGTCCAGGATACTGGACAGTCCAAAATGTTGATCAGTTCTTGGTAAAAATTGTAGAAATTTACCGTAGATCGATTTCGAGCCTTGAAGCTTGCTCGATTTCCTAACCATGGTCGTTCCGGTTGTTTACCAACATTTCCTCATTATTAGCGCTCTTTATGAACTGGAGACTCTTTAAAGGTCTTTANGTCTGGTTAGAGGTCAGGATGTGCCAACGCGGCTGTTTTTTTGAAAGTAGGTCGCTGCGCGCGAAAGCCATGATTACCTTTTTTGACACGATAGCCAAGGATGTCGTAAAAGCGACGACCCAGTTATCACGCGACCTGAATGGGCTTTCTTGACCTATGCTCCAATGTTTTTTATGAGGAAATTGTTTACAAACAACTACCAACCACTATGAGTGATTGATTTTAATACGTCTGGCTGATTTGATTTTTTAACATTTCCTAATCAAATTACATATTTTAGCAGCGGCATGGGCTGGTGTAGAAGAAAAGAATTGTTCTACGAATACTGACGGTCGAACGATGTCTTGCTATACATGCATGGGACGGGATATGGAGAATTGTATGCATGGGGTAACGTGCTGTAAAGGTTCCTGCTTCAAGTTGGTTGATGAAGGTGGGCTCAATTACTCCGAATTATCACTTCAATCACTTGCTTTTGTTTCTGAAAATTTTATTTTTTTGTATTATCATTTGAAAGTGTTGATAATCATATTGATGGGAGGACGCATCGGGGTATTTTCGGAACGCGTTTTTGAGCGCCATGCTTTTGATGCGCCATGCGTTCCCCACTCAATTGATAGTGTAAGGGTTTTTGAATGGTGTCTTACCCATCTGTTGGTTTATTTTCTCGCTTATACGAATAAAACAACATCGTAAGGTAACATAGGCGCTTTTAGCTATTTTCGGGAAAAACTTAGTAAGAATGACCTCTTATCTACTTACTCTTAAGCCATTTCATGATCATCTATTGGCTTTTCCTACACACCCCTGGTTTTCCACTGAGTGGGACTCTTTTCAAAGCATTTAAATGATTTGAATTATGGAAGGACAAAGAATAAGGCTTCTTAGGGTTGCACGATCTCGGTCTCCGAGTGTTGGAAGACATCACTTGCGTTTTCTCACTTTAATCGTGTAATATGTCTCCTATGTCTCGTGAAACTTTCACAAACGGGCATTCAGTTCTTGCCATTCCACTTCGTAGGGCTTCCCATCTGTCGCGTTATGATTTCTGGATAGGCAAAGCTCCATCCACTCGTTGAGAGCCAGCCCTGTTAGCCCTTACCCCTCTTCTCTTAGTTCTTATGCTTCCTTAAAGGCACAGTTCACGATAATTTTGAGCAATCCAGATTATGATGAAAAATGGAAGACAAGATCGAAACTAGTGCGACTGAGGTGGAGAAACTGCGTGCACCGGTGTTTCCAAAGTGAAAAAGGCTTCGAAAAACCGTTAAAAAGGGGGCTGGACGAGAATGAATGTGTGTTTCACTCGAGTGTTTCACTGCGCGCGTGTGGGTCCTGGTGCGAATAACAGACAATGGTAAGCAAAAATTCATTCACTTATGAGCATAAATAAACAAATAAAAACCCCCAGTAACAGCAAAAGTAGCTCACCTTTTGCAGCCTGAAGGAGTAGGAAATTAAATAAGGGATAGCGGCAGCAAAAAGAAAAACAGGGGAAAAAAGAATGGGTGAAAAACATCGCCTCATCACTCGGCGATTAGTTGTGCGTGGGTCCTAGAACGAATAATAGCAATCTGTATTGTCTCGACACTCGTCTAACGTGACACCGATCGAGGGGCGGGGAAGCAAACTACGGCAGAAGCGGGGCTTCCACTATGCCCTGAGCGCCGAGATTGTGGGAGCGAGAGGGTCTCTTCTACCACCCATGGGGGACGCTGAGTATTCCTGAAGGAAGAACTCAGTAACCTTTTTTATCGTGAATCGTGCCTTTAAATAAGTCAGATGGCCATCAGAGAGACCTGTGAGTCTAAAATATTAGAGATGAAGAGAAAAGAGCACGACACTGAAGGTAGGGCTCTAAAGAGGGTCCTAAAATCCCTCAAGCACTGCTCTCGCCTCAGTAGCGAATCTACCTTCATCAGCTGGACTTGCTTCCAACAAGACGATATCCATCAATGGGAATCACATACTGCTTCAGGTGACTACCCATGCTCTTCAACTGGATACAATTACTGGTCACCACCACGATCCCTTCAATATAAATCTATTTGTATGGTGATGGACACTCACTACCCTACGCATACTTGTCCTTGTCAAAAGGGAGCTTGTGTGACGTTTTTGGAGGGTAAAGTGGTTAGAATAGGAGTAAACATCATGTCCAATAATTGCCATTGATTTCCATTCTGTTCCTTGTCACTTGCTATTATAAAACACATCAGGAAACTGACTGATACTTTTTTCCCTATTATCGGTTCACTTACGAGTAATGGCCATTCAGAACATGACATGATCGTGAAGGGATGTACGAATGACGACGAAGAAGATGCCTCGATGAAAGTTCGTACTTTGGACATGGGACTTTATTGGGTGAATAACGAAAAGGTCAAAGGTAAGTGAATTTGGACTAGTTCAGCACTATCGGAAAGACCGTATTGGAAGGGGGAGGGGGAGGGGCTAATATAAGCTCGTAGGTCCTGAAGACCTCGTCCGTTTTGTCAGGTTGGAGGGACTTCTCGCGATAATTTGGTGCCGTCAAAAAAGGAAATTTATTGTCAGCAGCCTACTAGTGAAGAAAAATAAAAGAGCCCCAGAAGTTAAGGAGTCTACCGTTTCTAGTAGCCTTTCTGGGGGTAGTATAACCTTGAGATTAACCCGCCGGTAGCTCTTTAAGGGCTGACATTGATTTCTTCAAAAATTTGAAAGGCTCTGGGTGCCCATAAATGGGTGGTGACGGCGGAAAAGTCCCCGTGGAATACGTTTTAAAGTGCTAGTAAAATTTTTGATGAGAGTGGTAGTCATTTCAAATGAAAGCCGCCAACTCAACGAGCTTCGAACGTCAGCTTTATCACACCTAGAGGGACGCAATTTCATTTAGATTCGGCTCGGTCAAGGCCATCAATCACATCAGAGTTTTACTCTTTCCACACCAAGCTCTTTCAAGCAGACTAAATGCTTGTATTGGTCTGACTATAACTGCAGTGTGCTACATTGGACCAGAACGCGCTCGCCGCAACCGATCGCGCGTAGTCGCGCGTAGTGAAGTGGAATGTATGAATTGCTAATGGAAGTTAGGATAATTGTCGCGAAACCCCTTGTCGTGGAAATTTGGGAACGTCTACCACCAGTCCATGTGGGCTTAACCTAATCCGCTCACAGCGCGTGGCGATTTCCGGACAGTTTTCTGGCTGCACGCCGTATCTTGGTTGGCTGTATTAGTTAGTTGACTCGCTGCGCGTTATGGCGCTCGAGCACGAAATCTTTTATAGACCTCCCGCGACTCTTTTCAATGACGAGGCACCTCCAGGCTGTACCTTTCTCGCTAATAGGTTTCATTGTAATGGAAAAATAAATAAATGGAGTACATGCCATTTTTTAAAGTTTTTTTTTCAGGTCAATCCTTTTTCTGTAAAGGAAGCGATTTCTGCAACGAGACTCCAACGCTTTCGATGTTCTCTTCTTTGATAACAGCACTATTACTGCGGTTTATCATCTGAGTTAACCGTGCGTACAGCTCCTGGATTACAACGAAGCAGTAAAGGCCAACCCAATCGAGCCCATCTTGACTAGTTGGCGAAAACTCCACTTCATCGGGAGCTTAGCATATTTCCTTCTATGAACCGAAGTTTCTCGAACGATAGAGAGCGATAGCTCTGATTACTGCCATCCGATACAGTTTTACTGGAATCCAGCCCAGATTAGTACTCATTGCTTCAGGTTATCGACATTTTTTCATGTATAGAGAGGATTTTATTCGAAGAAAATTGAATAAATTTGAATTATGTGCGACATGTAGATAGCAGGAAAATTGCTTAGAAATACTCGTCTATTTATACCTCAGTACTCAATTGTATTTCTGGTCATCATTTTCCACTTTGTTGTGTTTTTGTTCGTAATTAATTGATGGTATTACTATGGCTCAGCGTTTTGTCTACTCAATAAAAATGATTTTACAGTGTAGATTTCAATCAATATTGGGATATGGTATCCCATGTACTTCAATGGGCCTAACATCTCATCTTTCATCCAAAATCTTATTGAGTTTTTTGAAAAGCCTGAATTCTGTGATAGCTACTATGGTCATGGTAGGTGATAAATGCCCTTCAAGGGTGTCGCATTGTGTGCGGCTGTGGAGCGTACTTTTTTCAAAGCACGTTCTTCTCCAAACTCTCGGTAGGAGAGAGCCGCCGAGGGTAACGTCACGTTATCGCCAAACGTCGTTGGGGTTCCATTTACGTGGGCGATATCCCCTAAAGTTTTCGTGCTCCGCCGTCGCTTGTCTGACACACGGCAACAAAAAAAGGAGAAACGAGAAAGGGTCGTTTGAAGTGCAAGTTAGTCTTTGAGGTGGCTCTGCCGGTGCTAAGCGGGTTGGGGGGGCCACGCGGCGCGGCAGGCGGCGCGGCTCCCTGCGCTCTCCAGCGAGACAGTAGTGGGCTGAGTCTGGGAAGGAATAGTAAGGCTGTACTGATGTGTTTCGTGATTCAGGACAAACAATGTGCTTGCATATAATGGATGCACTTCTTCTGAGCCGATAAAAACAATTTTTTAAGAAGGGGAGGGGCTCCGGAGATGGGT